AGTCGCAATTAAAAGTTTCTTGACCCTCAAAATTTTTTCTCAAGCCTCCAGTCTGGATCAGGGATGTAATGTCGTTAACGAGATACTACACTGCTTTTCTAATTTAAGTCTTCGATGTTATAAGACTAGTCCATCCCTATCCCTACACTAGTGGGTGTTTGTATCTTATTGACACCGTGGTATTCTATGTACATATATATATACTTATATATCTGAAGGTGAATATGTAAGTTAGACACGCGACTAGCTTGTGTACACTTTATCAAAGCAACTCTCGGCTTGTGCTTTGCTAAAGGTACACATGGCAATAGATTACAATTATCCGAACATGAGGCGGACAGTCTTGGGCCTTGCCTCGGTCAAGGTGGGTTTTGGTCTTGGGGTTTTATTTAACGTGACGAGTTTAACAGCGACGCTACGTATACGGGGTGAGAAGTGAGAACGGAAAATTATAGTTGCTAACGTGGGAGTTTAACTTGCTTGTACTGGAACATCGCTTTTGCTTGTACAATGTACATAACATCCATTTGAATATTTTCCACCCGGGATTTTTATATTGTCTAAGATATTTATTAATGGGCTGGAGCTGGATTATTATAAATTTTACTTTATGTTTAATTATTTTTTTCTGTCTGCCCGCTTGTCTCGGATCTTTCGTGATGCTAGATTATTGGTAATAAATAGATTAAATTACTCGATAATAATCCGGGATTTTATGCGGGAATAAAAAAAATTGCGTGGGTTTAAATTATGGGAATTTATTTAATAGACTTTTAATTGCGATTTGGAATAATTAAATTGTTTTTTAAAAGTAAAAAATGGCTATTATAGATCATTTTATTTTGAGTAAAATTATGTGTAATAATAATTTTTTTAATACATTTAAATCTAAAAAAAAAATTATTATAAATTCAAGTTAAACTTTTTGATGATTATTGACTTATAATTGAGATTTTTTATGATAAAAAAAATTTTTTTGGACAAAATTAAAATGTATTATTATACTTCATTTAATTCTGAGTATAATTATGTGTAATAATAATTTTTTTGATAAATGAAAGTCTTAGAAAAAAAATTATTAATAAAATTTAGATTGAAAAAGCTATAATTAATTTTTTCATGATTTTTGACTTATAATTAATATTTAAGGTTGAAAAAAAATTTTTTTTAGCTAAAATAAAAATTTGTAATGATAGTTTATTGAAGTCGTAGTATAATTATGTGTAATAATAATTTTCAACATCAATGAAAGTCTTGAAAAAAAATGATCAAAAATAAAATTTCTCCAAAATTAAAATTAAAAATTGAAATTTAAGGTTGTAAAAATTTTTTTTTAGCCGAAATAAAAAACAGTAATAATAGTTCACTTAATTCCGAGTGAAATTACGTATAATAATAATTTTTTTAATCCATTAAAGTCTAGAAAAAAAATAATTGAAAACAAAAGCTAGGTTAAAAGAACTAGAATTAATTTTTTATATTGACATAAAGAGACTATTAAAAAGCGAACAAGTCAAAGAAAAATTCCCAGCGATTGAATAATTAATTACTATCTAAACAACAAAAGAAATCACAAAGACAGATTGCGTGTTTGAAACAAGGAAGTCATTGAAATGAATAGAATTTAACCAAAGTAATAAGTAATATATTATATATTAAACAAAAAAAAAAAAACTCATTCAACTAACAGAGATCCTTATTGTCTTTGATGGGAGTTCAATTATTGAGATCGTAAATCATAATAAGATAATAGAGCAGAGCAAACAAAAAAACATACAAGTGATTGAAGGAAATGAAAATTTGCTAGACATGAAAAGAAACCCAGAAACAGAAAGAGAAGCCGGAAGTCTCGACTCCCGCGCCGAGCAAAGCAGGAAGACTCTCAATTAAGTGAATTTATTTGATACCGGATGCGGTGTGTTGAGTTTTGCTGGTGGAAATTCGCATCCCTTTAGTTTTAAGCCCTTTCAGTAGAAATTCACTCTTTATTAGTTCATCCACTCGTCGATTAATTATTTTTAGATTTATTTTTATCGACAATAATTACTCGTAATTACAGGCGTCGGTTTGATTACACTCCTATAAAAATAAGTATCGCTGTTATTAAATATGAAAGTAAAACGGCATCGAGTATTATTGCGCAATAATGGCTGACTTGTATTTACTCGATTTAATTCGAAATTGGACCAGTGGAAAAATAAATTGAGCGAATGCGTGGGCATTCTTATATATCATAAGAATATTGCTTTGATTTACTACCGGCTGGGTCTTTAATCTCCAACACTTGTCAAAAATAATTTTCACTAAAATTCTTTGCTTTTAATTTAAAGATCGGCAATTAAAAAAGTAAGGTAGAAAAAAATGAAACAATCATCAGATTGTTTGAATTAAATCCAATTAAATAAATAGCTGATATATTATTGACATTGTCACTAATTGTACGTGAAATCAGTATGTCTGACCCGTGTCCTGGTAATCGAGGCCAATTAGCAAAGTATCAAGATGCTGATGCTCGTCACGACCGAGAATTTAATCTCGAAAAATTTTAATTAAAACGTGGAACTATTTTGCTTTGGAAGTTATTCAGTTATTTTTATTCATTATTTTTAATTTGAGTTTTTCGTTAAGTCTTTTACTAAAAATCGGCCGTTATATATTATATATTAAAAAAAAAAAAATGCTTGACTCAAGAGTAATATCATTGATCTAAAAATAAAATCATTTTAAAGGAAATTGGTTGTCTTAATTTAAGAATTTAATGACAAATAAAATCCGAGAATTGTTTCTTTATTATTCTAATTTACACCAAAAAATTTTTAGCAACCTAAAAATTCAAATAAGTTGTAAGCAATAAGAGATAGGGCAAATGATCCCATTAGTGGCGGGGTTCCCATTACTGACACTTCCTTTGATTTTGGTACTTATTCAATTAATAAAATGATTAATTTCAATGATGGATATATTATTTCTAATCTTTAAGATTTTTAGATCAAAAAAATTTTTAATTTTTATTCCAAGTAGAACATTTTTTTTCATTGAAAGAAAAAGTGCCTCTAATGGGGTCTTTTACCTTACGAAAAAATTGATAAAGACCCTTTTTGTAGAGAATTAAACTCTCTATAAAAAAGGTCTCTTACAATGTTTTTATCTTCAAGTATTTACTAATAAAAATTCAACTTAGATAAAAATAAAAATCTTATTTTGTAAATTTTAAGACTATTTTTCTAGAACCGAGTTTTTTTTTTTTTTAAATAGTTATTGATGAAGCATAATATCACCACTTTTACATCATCAACGCATCAATTGCTAACCAAATTGAAATGTTAAACAATAACAACCTTAAAAAACAAAAAAGAGCTTTAAAAGCGAAACATTAACATTAATATTAAGTATCTCGCTCAGAAGATTATTATATAATAATTTTTCGATTAGTTCCATAGCGAGCGTGAGAGGTGTCTCGAAGAATGTATGACTAGCCCACGCAACCTATTTACTTCATACGAACATGACAGTTTCAATTGTCAGCCGGAAACCTTCACTTCAACTGCTTCATTCTCATCTTTATCTCCAACATACAACACTCTAGACTCTAGACTCTACACATGCTAGGATACTAGTTTATTTAACAACCTTTTTTACCTCTCTTAATAGTATATCTATCTATCTATTTATTTATCCGTCTCTTTCTTTCTTGTTACTTGTAAAATTGGTTTATTATATTTTATATTATACTACAGAGAGAGTATGGCATGTTTCTTTGAGGTTTCAGCGGCCCCATCTCGACTTCATAGTCAACAATGTGTAGGGCATAGTAAAGAGAATGAAATATCTCCAGTCTTTAATATAAGTTTTGTAAGTTGAGAGAAGAGATACATACTTGCCGATGAAATTAGCATACGAATACGTTTGTATTATTGCTCACAATCAGTTATCTCTCTTTTTCTCCTAGCTCATGCTTGTATTACTGTTAGTGCGTTTAGTTACATTACGGATGAGTATGGCTATGAGATAGAGAGGATATTGTGAGATATGTAGATGTATAAAACACCGTTGAATTATTTAAATATATATCTAGGCAAGGGGCCACCAGGGAATTTTTGAAACTGCTGACTCAAAATAAATTGCATTGTTCTTTTTCTACTCTGATAAATAAACTGGTTTGTTTTTTGATAAAAACTGAGATTTTTTAGAGAATTATTAAAGATATTTTTGTAGAAAATTTAATTTCCTAAAAAAAAAGTGTTTCTTATAATTTTTCTATATTTTTAATTAACTCAAAATTTAAATTTTAGTATTTGAAAAATGTTATACCAAACAATTTTTTAACAACAACTTAGATATAATCAGATTCTCTAAAAAACAAAGTCATTTATAATTTTCCGTATCTTAAATATTTAAACCCAAATTTTTATTAAAATTTACACTAAAAAAATTTTTATTGATTTTAAAATTCATATATGAGGCAATTTTTAATTTATAAATGAGACTTAGTCTCATTTACGATTGATTTCATTGATATTTTTGAAGATATTTCTGTTTTTTTTTATTGTTATAATTATAATAAAATAGATTTATGACAAAAAATTAAATCTTTTTATATTATTTTGCATGTTTTAATGTCTTATTCTGATTTTAAGCGACTGACCGAAATAACTTCAAACTTTAGAATAAATATATTTTTTTCAAACTTCATCAAACATTGATTTTTTTCCTCAAAATATATTGTTTTCCGAATAAAATGGCGTCCGTTTTTATTTAATATCGTAAAAATCAAAATTTCTCCAACTTTTTTCATAAAAAAAGTTCAATTTCGTAAGTTATTCTTTCTAAACAATTTTTCAGTATTTTTAAATTATTAAAAATTAAAAATAACTATTAAGATATTTAAAGGGAATGTTATATTAAAGTTTGGTACCAATTATAAGTCAATATTTTTCATTTAAACCAATACTTACCACTCTAGAAGCTTAATAAATGTAAGATGAGATAAAAAAATACAAATGCGTAGTTTTTATGAAGAAATTATAAATGATAATTATTTTTCAGGTTACACGGGAACGCAGTGTGAGATCGACATCGATGAATGCGCAACGAACCCCTGCCTGAACAACGGTGTATGCACGGACTTGGTGAATTCATTTAAATGTGACTGCGCGAAAGGATTCGCGGGATCGCATTGTCAGATAAACATAGACGATTGTGCGTCAGCGCCTTGCAAAAACGGTGGCACATGCCAGGACTCGATAGCCAAATACACATGTGAATGTCCGCCAGGATTCACCGGAGCCTCTTGTGAAACGAATATCAATGACTGCCAGTCGAATCCATGTCACAGCGGGACCTGCATCGACGGAGAGAACTCATTTACCTGCAGCTGTTTCCCCGGTTTCACTGGGAAACTCTGTCAAACCCAGATTGACGAGTGCGAGAGCAATCCTTGTCAGTTCGGTGGTAGATGCGAGGATAGAATAAACGGATATCAGTGCATATGTCGCCCTGGTACCTCCGGCACTAATTGCGAAATCAATGTCAATGAGTGCTACAGCAATCCTTGCAGAAACGGCGCCAGGTGCATCGACGGCATCAACAGGTTTGTATTTTTGCCTTCTTTAGTCCCGTCAATTTTATTCTAATCAATCTCGATTATCATTTTAAATAATTTAGTTTTAATATAAATATTAATAATTCCCCATTATTATTATTATTCACGAATCCTCAATTAACTTTTGACTAATCAAAGCTTCTTATGCGCTTTTTTTTTTCAATTCATCGTCATATCGCTACTCGAGAAGCAATCGGATGCCTGGTCTAGGATGGTACGTAATGTTTGAAACGAGAGTGTTCCAGTGTGTTTTTTTTCACGTGTTTTTTAAATGCTTTTTAGTTTTTGATTTTTCACCCTCACGGCTGCACCTGTATTTTTTTTTTTTTTTTGGTTTTTAGTCTCTAATGTAAATAGTGGAGTTGTGGATAAATATTGTTGATTTTTTAATAATTATTTAAGTTTTTGATTTTGGAAAAAAAGTTTAATATTTTTATTAAATATTAAACCATTATGATATTAAATATATATCAAAATAAATTAAATATATTATTTAATAATAATAATAGTAATAATATTTTTTTTAACTCTAAATTTGATCATTTTTAAGAATTTTTAATAAATAAAAAACATAATTTTTTTCAATAATTTTCTGACACTAATTTGATTAAATAAAATCAAAAAATGATTGTTAATTAATTTTTTTAATTTTAATTTATTCTAATAAATTTTCTATCTTTAAAATTATAAAAAAAAAAAAATCTAATAATTATCAACAACTCAAAAAACTTCCAACAATTTTCCCAAAACCAAAAACTCCAAAAAAATCTCACCAAAATTTCAATTTTCAGGTACTCATGTGAATGCGAGCCAGGTTTCACAGGCCAGCACTGCGAGACGGACATCAACGAGTGTTCAAGCAACCCTTGTGCAAACGGCGGCCGCTGCATCGACCTGATAAACGGCTACCGCTGCGAATGTCCAAGAGGTTACTACGACGCGCGTTGCCTAAGCGACGTGGACGAATGCGCGAGCAATCCTTGCGTAAACGGCGGAACCTGCGAGGACGGAGTGAACCAGTACATTTGCCACTGTCTCCCCGGTTACGGCGGCAAAAGATGTGAAGCAGACATCGACGAGTGTGGTTCCAACCCCTGCCAACACGGCGGTTCCTGCATCGACCACCTGAACGACTACAGCTGTCAATGTCTCGCCGGCTACGCAGGTATAAACTGCGAAACGAACATCGACGACTGCGTGGCGAACCCTTGTCAAAACGGAGGTTCCTGCATCGACCTAGTCAACGACTACAAATGCGTCTGCGAACTGCCTCACACCGGCCGGAACTGCGAGGACAAACTAGACCCCTGTTCCCCGAACAAATGTCTCCACGGCGCGAAATGTACCCCATCTTCAAACTTCCTAGACTTCGCCTGTACCTGCCCAGTCGGTTACACCGGGCGTCTCTGCGACGAGGACGTAGACGAGTGCGTAATGACTTCTCCGTGCCGGAACGGCGCCACCTGCCGGAACACCAACGGTTCTTACCACTGCGTCTGCGCGAAAGGCTACGAGGGCCGCGACTGTATCATAAACACCGACGACTGCGCGTCTTTCCCCTGCCAAAACGGCGGAACCTGTCTCGACGGAATCGGCGACTACACCTGCTTGTGCGTCGACGGGTTCAACGGCAAGCACTGCGAGCTCGACATTGACGAGTGTCAATCTTCTCCTTGTCAAAACGGCGCGATTTGCAACCAATATGTCAATTCCTACACCTGCCAATGCAAATTAGGCTTCTCCGGAATAAATTGTCAAACAAACGACAACGACTGCACCACCAGCAGTTGCATGAACGGCGGAAAGTGTCTCGACGGAATCAACAGCTACACTTGCGTTTGCCAGCCAGGTTACACCGGCTCGAACTGCCAATACAGAATAAACGAGTGCGACAGTTCTCCCTGCCTCAACGGCGCAACTTGCCACGACGATATAAATCATCACTACACTTGCCATTGTACTTACGGATACACTGGCCAGCGTTGCGACATGTACGTCGACTGGTGCGCGGACCAACCTTGTGAGAACGGCGCTACTTGCGTTCAGCACAAGAACAAGTACCACTGCAATTGTTCCCCAGGCTGGACTGGAAAAGTCTGCGACGTTGAAATGGTCTCTTGTAAAGACGCAGCCATCCGGAAGAACATCCCCAAGGAATTCCTGTGCAACAACGGAACCTGCGAGGACATCGGGAACAGCCACCGCTGTCATTGTTTAGAAGGCTACACCGGTTCTTACTGCCAGACTGAAATTAACGAGTGCGACTCTGCTCCTTGTCAAAACGGAGCTATTTGCAAAGATTTAATTGGATCCTACCAGTGCCAGTGCGCTCAAGGTTTCCAGGGTCAAGATTGTGAGTTAAACATTGACGACTGCCAACCCAACCCTTGTCAATTCGGAGGAACTTGCCATGATTTGATAGACAGCTTCAGCTGTTCTTGTCCTCCAGGCGCTCTGGGGTACATTTGCGACCTGAACCCTCAAGACTGCATGCACGACTCTTGCCACAACAACGGTACCTGCATTGACAAAGTAGGCGGGTTTGAGTGTATCTGCCCACCGGGATTTGTCGGGCCTCGCTGCGAAGGTGACATCAATGAATGTTTATCTAACCCTTGTGCCAATCCTGGAACTCAAGATTGTGTTCAATTGGTGAATAATTACCATTGTAATTGCAAGCCAGGCTACATGGGGCGCCACTGCGAGGTCAAGGTTAATTTCTGTGAAAGTTCTCCTTGTCAGAACGGCGGAGTTTGCACTGCCAAGCAAGCTGGACACATCTGTACCTGCCCGCCAGATTACTACGGACACAATTGTGAGTTTGTCGGGTCTTACTGCGATAATAAACCTTGTCTTCATGGAGGAACTTGTCGAGTAACTCCCACAGAAATGGGCTACAGGTGTTACTGCCCGCCGGGAACTTCAGGAACTCACTGTGAGATTGATACTAAAGACGAATGTGAGAGCAACCCTTGCCAGCAGCCTGACGCGACTTGTGAGAATCTTGTGGGTGATTACGCCTGCTACTGTCCTCCTAAATGGACCGGGAAGAACTGCGAGGTCTACGATACTAATAGTCGGGGAGGAATCTTTGGAAGACCTAACTCAGTAGCTCCCAAGAGTCCAGTTGACTTGGACCAGGAGCGAGAGAAGCAGAGGTGCATGGAGAACAGATGCGACCAGAAGGCCGGAAACGGCCGCTGTGATCAAGAATGCAACACTCATGCTTGTCACTTTGACGGAAATGACTGCTCTCTTGGTATCAACCCCTGGAAGAACTGCACCGCGCCTATCAACTGCTGGGATGTCTTTATGAACAACCAGTGCGATGAAGTTTGCAACAACGCCCAGTGTCTCTTCGACGGGCGCGATTGTGAGAAAACTCTGGCACCTTGTAATCCTATTTATGACGCCTACTGCAGAAAACATTACGCCAACGGGTACTGCGACTACGGCTGCAACAACGCCGAGTGCAACTGGGACGGTCTTGACTGCGAGAACGAACCCGAGTCTCTAGCCGAGGGAGTTATTTCTATTGTAGTTCGCATGGACATGAAGACCTTCCAGGATGAAGAGCTTGCGTTCTTAAGATACATTGGTCATCAATTAAGAACTACGCTGCGCATTAAATTAGACGAACTGGGCAATAGGATGGTCTACCCAGTAAGCGACAATGTTGACTCGATGTTTGCAAGACCAGGAGGCTTCTCTGGAAGCAAGCATGGAGTTAAAGCTTTTCTGGAGATTGATAATCGCAAGTGTTCAACTACTGAGGGCGCAGTTTGTTTCGCTAGTGCTAATGAAGCCGCGGAATTCCTGGCTGCTACAGCTTCAAAGCAGGCGTTGTTGAGTAGTTATCCGATAGAATCAGTCAAGGGATTAGTTGGACCAGCTCCAGGTCCAGAATATCCAGAGACTCCAACGAATTATAAGTATGTTTTCATTGGACTAGTTATTGTGCTAATTGGCGGAATGCTAATTGGAGTTTTAGTCACTGCAAGGAACAAACGCGCAGTAGGCATTACTTGGTTCCCCGAAGGGTTCTTGAGGTCCAATGCTGGAAGTGGTCAACGGCGGCGCAGTCGCAGGCGCGGTCCAGACGGTCAAGAAATGCGAAACTTGAACAAACAGCCGTCGGTTAATTGCATGGACCTTGATATTGTAAATAATCGGAGTCAACAATGGTCTGATGATGATTCTGAGCTGCCTCCGACTAAAAGAATGCGAGCTATTGAACCTGGGTATGCTAGTGATCATACGGCGATGACTGAGTATGGTGATGAAGTGAACGATCCCAGGATGTGGACCCAGCGGCACTTGGACGCTGCGGAGAACTGTCCGGGAGTAAATGGAGTTCTGACTCCGCCGAATTTAGAGCATGGAAAGGACATTGACGCCAAAGGCCCTTGTGGTATGACACCGCTGATGGTGGCGTCGGTCCGCGGCGGCGGGCTGGATACTGGAGAAGAGGATGATGATAGTGATGGAACTGCTGCGGTTATTGCGGACCTGGTGGCACAGGGAGCGGACCTCAATGCCACTACGGACAAGAGTGGAGAGACTTCTCTTCACTTGGCTGCTAGATACGCCAGGGCTGATGCAGCCAAGAGACTGCTTGATGCTGGAGCTGATGCTAACTCTCAAGACAACACTGGAAGGACTCCGCTACACTCTGCTGTGGCGGCCGACGCGATGGGAGTCTTCCAGATTTTACTGAGGAACAGGGCTACTAATTTGAATGCGCGCATGCACGATGGAACTACTCCGCTGATACTCGCTGCGAGGCTCGCTACTGAGGGTATGGTTGAGGATTTGATCAATGCTGATGCTGATATCAATGCTGCGGATAATAGTGGAAAGACAGCGTTACATTGGGCCGCTGCGGTTAACAATGTTGATGCGGTTAATATTTTGCTGGTACATGGCGCAAATCGCGATGCTCAGGATGATAAAGATGAGACGCCGCTGTTTTTAGCCGCGAGAGAAGGCAGCTTTGAAGCTTGTAAAGCTTTGTTGGATACTTTTGCCAATAGGGAGATTACTGATCATATGGATAGGTTGCCGAGGGATGTTGCTAGTGAGCGGCTGCATCATGATATTGTCAGGCTGCTTGATGAACATGTTCCTAGGTCACCGCAAATGGTGTCTGTTATGCCTAATGGACCTCTTATGGGTGAGTTTTTTTTAGAATTAGATTTACTTAAATATTTTTATACAATTATTTTTTTGAAAAATTACAAGTTGATATAAAAGAATAATAAATAAAATTGAATTAAATATTAACATGAAAAAATTTTTAATACAATTATTTTTTATACGATTATTGTTTCAAAAAATTAAAAGTCATTATAAAGACAGAATAATGAAAAAAAAAATCTGATTTATTTATAAAAATATTTTTCTAATTTATTTTGTATTTAAATTTTGCAATTTTCTCTTGGTCCAAAATTATTTAAAATTAAATAAAATATTAACATGAAAAAATTTAAAATTTTTAAATATTTTTATACAATTATTTTGACAAAATAATAAAAAAAATCTAATTTACTTTTAAAAATATTTTTGTCTTAAAATTTTGCAATCTTTCCTTGCTCCAAAATAATTAAAAATATAAAATATTAACCCAAAAAAATTTTTAATTCCAGGTTCTCCGAACCATTCACAATTGATAACACCACCAACAGTGATAGGCTCAGCGCCAAAACAGTCAAAGGCAAAGAAGCGTCCAAAAACAAGCGGCCCGGGCAACCCAACGTCGCCAGACTCAGAAGGCGCGGTGGTTGCAGCAGTCCGCAGAAAACCCTCGGTGAAGAAGCTAGCAGTGAAGCGTGGTGCTCAGCCACCCAACCAAGAAATCCCCCAAGGAGCCGAGGGAGCTGAAGGAAACCTTCCAAGCCCGTACGACAGCGCGAGCTTGTACAGCAACGGTATGGCTCATGTGAACCACCCGACGCCCACGGCGAAGCAGCCGCCCCCTTACGAGGACTGCATCAAGGGCCAGTCGATGCAAACCCTCCAACAGCTGGGTCTGGACACCTTCACGAGTGCCTACGGTCTGCCAAATTTTCACGACCAGCTGCTAGCACCCCACCAGCGGCAGACCCAGGGGATGATCAACACCCTGTCGCCGCCTTACAGCAACCAGTCTCCGCCTCACTCGGTCCAGTCTAACATGACCTTGTCGCCCCAGGCGAGCTACATGGGCTCCCCGTCGCCGGCCAAGAGTCGGCCATCGCTTCCCACTTCCCCGACACACATGGCCGCCATGAGACAGGCGACCCACCAAAAGCATGGAGGTATGCCTCCAGTAGGGTTCGACTTTGAGACCCATCCCTACGCAACTGGGCCGACCCAGATGCAGCAGATGCAATCCCAGCAGCAGCAACAGCAGCAACAGCAGCAGCAGCAGCAGCAGCAACAACAGCAACAACAGCAGCAGCAGCAACAGCAGCAGTACTATCAGTACTTGACACCTCCCTCGCATCATTCTGGGGCTGACGTAACTCCTCAGCACTTGATGCAAGCCCCAGAGAGCTTCCCCACACCCTCCCCGGACAGTCCTGGGCACTGGTCTTCCAGCTCGCCACACTCCAACAGCGACTGGAGCGAATGTATGGCCTCTCCCAACGCCTACGCACCTGGAGCTCAGCATCAGGGCAATAAAGGCTCCGAGGCAATTTATATTTAAGCTTTTTTATTGTAATAGTTATTATTATTAATTTTTTTTTTATATATATATATATATATAATATTAAGTCAAGTGTTATTTATACATATATACATATTAAATATAAATATGAATTTATAGTAGGATTTTTTCTGAGTCTCGAATTTTAAGACTTATTTAAAATCGCGCCTTTCGTAAAACGGGTTACAATTTTTTTGGGTTGCAGTTGATTAGTTAGTTAAACTGACAACATTCCGAATTAAATTACTAGAATTTAAAAAGTAAATATAAAATATTATTTAAAATTATTAATTTTACAAATTTTAAAATTACGAAAAATATAAACTTGAATAAAGAAAAAACTAAAGCTATATTTATAGAATCTTTAAAAGTCTCAATAAATTAAAAAATATTACACCGAAAATTTTTACGCGAAAATGAATGAACAGACGAACACTCATTTAGCCGAAAAATGTAAATATATAGTTATTTGGATGAGTAATTTTCGGCCGAATCATTATTCGTATGGATGAGTATTCGGATGAATATACGTCGAAACGAACTTTTTTTGAAATTACATCAACTCTTGAGAAATATAAGATTTATGTTTACCTACACGAAAACAACAAAATGACACTGGATATCATCCCAGATTATCCTCAGTGATATTATCTGTGGCGAAAAAAAATTTCAGATAGTTAGTATAATATCTGGATTATACTAGCTACTATCTGAAATTTTTTTTCACTCAGTATAATCTGAGATGATATCTAATGTCATATTATTCTTTCCGTGTATATTTGATAGCTCGGTGTATTATAATTTACAAAATTGTTTTTCGGCTGGTATTTTATTTAAGCTAATATATTATATAAACTTTGAATGTAGCGGAATTTTTAATTTTCTAGTTTTAATAATTCGGAATGTTGTCGATTTGACTTTGACTAGTTGACCGCAACCCAATTTTTTGAGATTTAAATAGGTGAATTTAAAAGTTGGAAATTTTTTTTTTTTTAATAAATTGTAACTTTTTTGAAGATTTTTTTTTTTTAATAGGCGCGTGCTCAATGAAGATTAATTAAAAGAATGTAAAGGTGCCTTCCTTGCCGCAGTGTAGGTGAACCTTAATTGACAAATAAAACAAATGATTTATAGATCACTTGTTATTGTAAATAATTTACAATTGACTAGGAACTGATAAGACAATCAGTTAGTAAATATTTAGATATAGCTATTAATTGTAGTTTAAGAGTATAGTAGGAGGTATTTTATTTAATGATTTATATAATATAATAAAATGAAATAGCGCGATTTTAACAAATCGTCACTGCCAATTTTTTAGTACACAGTTGCAGGCGGGACCAATTGACAATAATCATTATTCACTATCATTTAAATAAAATTAATAACAGTTAATACTCGAGTACATGAACAATAGAACAGTAAATGTTAAAAGTTAAATTTTGTGCCTTTATTATAAAATTAGGTGTCATAAAACAAAGTAATAAATCGTGCTAAGCAATTTATTTTGTAAGATATTAATATAATAATAATAATAATATTATTATTATTAATTAATTAAATAATTTAACAAGGATTTAATGAGAATTTTTTAACGGACAATTCTTCCATACAGACATTCCAATTCGTATTTTTTATTCACGCTTATTTTTTTTTTTTTTTTTTGATTTTTTTTTTACAGTCCAAAGCTTGTATTTTATAAGTTGATTTTCATTTTAGAAATGGGTTTTACTATAATATTTAGTAAATTTATTAAAATCCACGACTATTAAATATAATAATTAATTATTATAAATATTATTATTTTAATTAATTGTTGATAATGTACAATTAAGATAAGCGTCCGGGTTTTTTTATTTAAAATTCTCATTAAATCATTTGTTTAAGCCAAAACGTTTGACAATAACGATAACGATGGCTGAAAAAGACAATTAAGAACAACACTAATTATCGGGTAATTAATTTACCTCGTATATCTTTCTTAGATTGTTGCGAGAGAATAAATAAGTCGGTATAAATAAATTTAATTATTTATACAGTGACTTGCGTGTGTGTTTGCAATACTAGTGATCAAAATACAAAAAAAAAAATATTTTTTAATTTTTTTAGATAAAAATTTTTTTCCATAAAAATAAAAATTGTATATAAGTATAAATAATTTGTTTTGTAATTAACATACACACACGAAAAAAATCTCTCGATTTTTGTACAAACTGTTTTTACATATTTTTTATAACAATTATAAATAAATAATTATATTAGTTGAATTAAGAGATTGTGAGCAAATATAATTATTAATTGCTATTTGATTAAAATTGTTCTACAGTAATAATGTTCTATTACTAAAATTGATTATTATTATTATTATAATTATACTTATAGTTATAAGCAAATGATAATGTTTAGTTGGATAAATAATTACAAGAATTATTAATTATTATAAATGTTTTTTATATCAATTGTAAAGTGTGATTTTTTGTTGCATTAAGAATATTAGTAATAATAATAATAATTATATTAATTATAATAAATAAAAATAAATTACGGAATAATGTTCTTGATGCAATATTTTATTACACAGTGATGCGATCGAGACGTTATATTGTTAAGAATTAATTAAATTAATCAATCATGCGGACCAAACTCGATTTATTCTTTAATTTAACTTTTTACTTGAAAGTTTTGATTTGCATGGATTTATTTGTATGATTTCAATTGTATTTATCTTGTAATCCGAGTAGAAAAATTTTTAATAAATTATTTTGTAAAATGTTTATAAAAAAAAAAAAATTTATGAAAATTTTTTTTTAACAAATTTATCAACCAATTTTTTTTTTTACTTTTTTTGAAATTAATTTTTTTTATTTTGTTTGTTAACTTTTTTTTTTTTTTTTTTTTTTGATTTTTTTTTACAGTCCAAAGCTTGTATTTTATAAGTTGATTTTCATTTTAGAAATGGGTTTTACTATAATATTTAGTAAATTTATTAAAATCCACGACTATTAAATATAATAATTAATTATTATAAATATTATTATTTTAATTAATTGTTGATAATGTACAATTAAGATAAGCGTCCGGGTTTTTTTATTTAAAATTCTCATTAAATCATTTGTTTAAGCCAAAACGTTTGACAATAACGATAACGATGGCTGAAAAAGACAATTAAGAACAACACTAATTATCGGGTAATTAATTTACCTCGTATATCTTTCTTAGATTGTTGCGAGAGAATAAATAAGTCGGTATAAATAAATTTAATTATTTATACAGTGACTTGCGTGTGTGTTTGCAATACTAGTGATCAAAATACAAAAAAAAAAAAATATTTTTTAATTTTTTTAGATAAAAATTTTTTTCCATAAAAATAAAAATTGTATATAAGTATAAATAATTTGTTTTGTAATTAACATACACACACGAAAAAAATCTCTCGATTTTTGTACAAACTGTTTTTACATATTTTTTATAACAATTATAAATAAATAATTATATTAGTTGAATTAAGAGATTGTGAGCAAATATAATTATTAATTGCTATTTGATTAAAATTGTTCTACAGTAATAATGTTCTATTACTAAAATTGATTATTATTATTATTATAATTATACTTATAGTTATAAGCAAATGATAATGTTTAGTTGGATAAATAATTACAAGAATTATTAATTATTATAAATGTTTTTTATATCAATTGTAAAGTGTGATTTTTTGTTGCATTAAGAATATTAGTAATAATAATAATAATTATATTAATTATAATAAATAAAAATAAATTACGGAATAATGTTCTTGATGCAATATTTTATTACACAGTGATGCGATCGAGACGTTATATTGTTAAGAATTAATTAAATTAATCAATCATGCGGACCAAACTCGATTTATTCTTTAATTTAACTTTTTACTTGAAAGTTTTGATTTGCATGGATTTATTTGTATGATTTCAATTGTATTTATCTTGTAATCCGAGTAGAAAAATTTTTAATAAATTATTTTGTAAAATGTTTATAAAAAAAAAAAAATTTATGAAAATTTTTTTTTAACAAATTTATCAACCAATTTTTTTTTTTTTACTTTTTTTGAAATTAATTTTTTTTATTTTGTTTGTTAAAAAAATTTATTTTTTCCAATTTAGAAAAAAGGTGATTTTTTTTTTCTTTTTTATCAAGAAAAATTTTTTTCTCAATTTTTGAGTCTCACATTCTTTATTATAAAAATTTTTTGTAAAATTAATCTAAAAAAATTCTTCTGCTTGGATAAACTAATTATTATAACGTAACAAGACTGCGTATAATTGTCAAAAACAACGATAATAATAATAACGAAGAAAATTCCTGATAATAAAATAATTTGTAATAATGAGGCCTTATAATCTCAAGGATAATGACGTATAAAGTATAAAACTATATATTTGTATTTTTGTAATAAAAAAAAAAGACACTAGAATAATAATTGTAATAAAATAATGAGTTGAAGATTAAAAATAAACAATTAAAAAAATATATATATAAATTGTTCTCTAACGCATCTTGACCTGTGGTAATTAGAAAATTAAAAATATTTTAAGATACATGTAGTGTTAGTGGTATGACTATATGTTTATTGATAAAAAATAATTTTGATTATTATATTATTGAAAGAATAAGAGAATTTGTTATAATTATTATTGTAACTTGTAAAAAGTACTGAGTTTTATTATTAGTAGTAATTTGTTTGATATATTATACTAAGGAAAGTAATGATTTTTTTTTTCACTCAATCCTTACGTCCTATTTACCTTCCATTCTTCTCACTCTCATTTTTCTATATTTTTTATATAAATAAATAAATAAATAAGTTATGTTTTTTTAAAAACAGATGTAATAAAATAATAAAGATAGTCTAACCATTTATCAAATAAATTTGTTTTTTATTCACTTTCCTCTCATTATATTATTTATAATTAATCATCAGTCTTTAGTCAATGAGGAATTAAAAATTATAATTATTTCTAAAATTTATTAATAGAATAAAAAACTTTGATAAAAAATCAAAAATTTAATCAAATATTTCTTCATGTGTCAATAAGAATATTTTTAAAAAAAATTTAATATATTTTTTAATTCAATAAAATAAATTTCAATTACCAAATAAAATTGTTACCGGCTGTGTGAAATTTTGAAGGAAGCAAAAAGGATAATTTTAAAGCTATCACATGTATGTAATAAACATACTATATTACATTTTTTTTAAATAATTTATTTCTTAAGAAAAACTCCAAAAATTGCCAGATGTTAAATTATCAAATTTTATTTTTATTAAAAATAAATTTTTGAAAACTTTTCTATGAAAATTAATTTAGCAGATATTAGATAATTTTAACAATTTTTTTAACAAATAAATTATGGCACAAAAATTTATAAAAAAAAAATTGACATATGTAAAAATTTTAAAAAATTAAAAATGCAATTTTTCAAAAATTATTTTTTGGAACAAATTTATTTGTTAAAAAAAACTAAAAAATAATCGAGTGACTGCTAACTTTAATGTCATAACTTTTCTCTATTGTACTTATTGCAAGTACTGTTCTTATACATGACACTAAAGTTAACAGAGGTCTAAAAATTTTATAATTTTTTTTATTAATTAAATTACAACTAAAAAGATATTTATAAAAAATTGCACTTATAGTTTTTCAAGTTTTTTACATGTGAAAATTTTTTTTTAATTGTTTAATTGCAATTTTTTCAATAAAAAATTTCTAAAAATTTTGAAATGTTGGCTAACTTCATTTTCATTTTTATACATCTATTTTTTAGTATATTTTTATTTTATTAATAAAAATAAAGATTAATCTAAATCTAAATTTAATTAATTACAATTCATCTTACCATTTATGTGATGTTCTTATATTCAAGTATCAAGTCATAAAACTATTTTTTTACAATTTATTATTAGAATTCTTGTTCTATATAAAGTGTCTTTCCAATTTGGACATTGTAATGCGCAATAAAAATTGACAGCTGACAAGAGCTAATATTGAAATCTCCTACAAGTGCATTTGTTGAGTTTTTTGTTACTTTCAATTTCTTTTTTTGAACAAACAATTTTTACTCAATTAACTAAATGATTAATTAACCAGTAATTAATTAATCCGTAATACAAAATAATTAATATACTACGTCTGCATATATACTCACATCTACAATCACTGCTTTACTTAGTTTCATTTTTTGGCCAGTAGATGTCCAAAACTTACGTCACGCCTACTAAAAGTTTGAAGTTGTATGTATAGTATCGCAATTCACAGCTTGTATCAAATATCAAATTATGCTATTTCGCATTCGCTAGTTGTACTGATGATGATCCAAAATTTTGATTACGAATCATAACTTCAAATTGTACATTAATTTTATAAAAGTATTAATATTTTTTCAAGTTAATTTTTTAAAATGAACGCTGTAAAGGTAATATATATTTTTTTTAATTTCACCTGTCAAATCAACGCGGTAAGAGTGAATTTTTTTGTAACTTGTTCAGTGATAGAATTTTTATTTTTATTAACGAAATTAAAATTAGCAGACATCTGTAATTTTTAGAATTTTTTTTAACAAATAAATTATGATAAAAAAATTAAAAAAAAAAATTGACTTGTAGAAATTTAAAAGAATAAAAAATGCAATTTATTAAAAAAAATTCAAAAATTCTTTAATGACTACTAACTTTAATGTCATATTTTTACAACAAATATTACACATTTAAAAAAATAAAATTATAATAATAATTTTTTCACACATTTAAAATTGGAATTTTATGATACTGATGTCAGCTGATATTAAAAAATTTTTTGGTTTTTTTTCTTTAATTAATTTTATATTAACAAAATAATTTTAAAAAATTTCACTTCAAAATTTTTTTTTTTTGAATTTTTATGTAATAATAATATATATTTTGAAAATTGACAAATGTTTGCTAACTTAAGCTTCATGGAATTTTTCAGAATATTTTTTTATAATTTGTTTGTTGAATAAAATCCTAGAAATCATCACATGTTAGTTAAGTTCAGTATCATTTTTATTCAGGTTGAAAAAAGTAAGAGGCTGTTCCTTAAATATTTGGATCATTTGCGGGTGTTTGTTGACACCAACAAAGTCCTGAAATTGGCGTTGATAACGGAACGTGACAACCCAATAATTTCAAAGCATTTTCAAAAACGAGAAACAGCAGTAAAAGAGCTACTGACAACTTTTGATCCTGTGGAAGGAGAAATTGATCTATTATGGGCATTCAACAACGTCGAGGAATGTCAAAAATATATTGATTATGTCATTAAATTAATGACCTTTCCTTGGAAACACATCGAAACAACCTTGTGGTAAGTCTTAAGGTATGAATTAATTTTACAAAAAAAAATAATAGTAATAATAACATAATAGTAAAGTTAGCCAACGTTTATTAATTTTTTGATATTTTTTAATTTATTAAATTATAACTAAAAAATTTTTTTAGAAATTACACTTTTAGTTTTTTAAAAATGAATTTTTTTTTTTATAATTTTGTCAAAAAAAAATTCTATAAATTTTAAGATATCAGCTAACTTAATTTTCATAATAATAAATAGTAAATTATAAAATATTTTAGTGATCCCAACTGCGAACGAATATTTGCTAATTTTCGGGCAATAATTAGGATCTTAAAAATTGAAACACCCGATGGCACGCAAAGTTTCTTTGACGAGCTTTCACCTGTTAAATCAGACCCTGAAGAGAATCCAGATCCGAAGAAGACCATTGAAAATTTTTACATAAGAACTGGTCAACTGTATTAGGCTGAATCTCAAATGTTTTCTAACTGAAGATATTAATATTAATAATTAATTTCAGTTTAATTTTATATAAGATCTCTATTTGTGATTAATATTAGTTAAAGTTAATGTTAAGTATGTATATTGAAAATTAAAAGTTTAAATTGTCTAAAATTTATGTAAAGGATCTATCTAGAGTTAATTGATATAAAGTATATATCTGTAGTTGAAATTATTCAATAAGAAAATTAAAATTGTGAATCTTATTATATTGTAAATTTTAAAAGATTAAGTCACTAAGTAAAAATAATTTTAATTTAACTAAAAAAAAAAAAATATAAATCTTAAAATAAATCTGACTAATGTCTTGAAATTTGTGTATTTAATTAAGGGATTATTATACATTCTAAGAATAAAAATAAGCGATTTTTAAATCATTTTTCAGAAGAGGATATTTAGTTGAATTCTATGAAAGTTGATAAACATATAATAAATATTTTTAATTTTTTGACTAATTTATTTTTCTTTACAAATTATTTTACTTGTATTTATTTTGTAACACAAGTAGAAAATTAAAAAAAAATTATTCTGTAAAATGTTTATGAAAAAAATTTTAGTTCGAGTTATCTTGAGTAGTTTTTAGATTATTAAAGAGATAAATGTAAAGCTGGATGATTTAGCGTCGAAATGACCTATAACTCATGAAGAATAGCTACTTATTTAATGAAAGAAGAAAGAGATACAAATTGGGTTTGAATATTATCAGTATCAATATGATTCTAGAATTGTCGCATTGAAATCTATTAACTTTTATTGTTTCTCAGTATGATCATCTTCCATTCTTCTCTATCAATTACAATTAAAAAATGCTTTAAAAAATTTCCACTTATAATTTTTTTTTAATTTCCACATGCGAAATTTTTTAATAGAATTTTTTTTTATAATTTTACTGCTATAAAATTCTAAAAAAATTTTTAGTATATATCCACTTCAGTGTCATGTAGGTATTAGACAGGTAATTAAAATAAATATTCAATAACAATTTCTTTAAAATATTTTTATTTAATCAATAGCAATATAAAAAATTAATAGTCAAGAACAGCCAGCTGGATAAAGTGGGAGTGCTTTCATGCGATAATCTCAATAATTCAAATAAAAACACTTTAAAAAATTGAGAATCAAAATCAGTCTTGGCAAAACGTTTTTAAATATTTTTTTTGTAAAATAAATTCATGATAAATATCAATGACATATTTTTATTAATATTCTTAATTCATCTATCTTTTTAATTACAATTTAATTACTAATTTCTAGCTTTTATACATTATTGCATGATGAGCTGGTCGATCATCAAAAGATCAATTTATCGTCAATGTTTATTATAATTTCAACTGTTTTTTACATAAAATTCAGCTATCTCCACTTTGGAACTGATAGGTCATTTTTAAGCTTGATCCATAAAATAATAAGTTCGCTCCTTGATTGTTATGACATCTTTATCTTCCAGCGATAGCAACTCACGGATGGATTTTTTGTGTCTACTTCTGAGTTTTAAGTAATATTGAAACTTTCCTACATCTGGGTTATCATCTAAGGCAAATTGAGCTGCCTTGCATCTTTCTATATACGTGATGTAGTAGTGTAATATAAGGAAAGCACATCCTATTGAAAGTCTTGCATCAAGCTCATGAATCCTCAATATTTCGATTTGGTTATCCGTCATACCACTTTTTACTTGATAAAAGAGACCTGCAAGGTCCTGTTTGTACTTCCTAATCTCACGGTAATCAAAGATAAGCTTTGAAATATACGAGAGCAACTTTTTTATTGGATTTTTATCCGTTGATATGCAGAGTGAGCTCGAGCAATCGCATGACTCCTGAAAATTAAAATTTTTGTTTCAAAATAAATTTAGATATTTATTTTGAATAAAAAATGTAATTATGATTAATTTAATAAAGTAATGTGAAAAAATTTACAGGTTAGAAATTATTATGGCTCAAAAAAACACAATTAACCATGACCATGATATAAAGAACATGCATATTAATCACTTTAAAAATTGTGAAATTTAATGAAAATTTAGTTAGCCGACATTTAAAAATTTTTTTTTATTGATGAAATTTGTAAAAAATATTTTTTTGTTATTATTAAATAAATGAAAAAATTAAAAACGTCAGCTAATTTTAGTATTATGATACCTAGTTTATTGATAACTTACCATTTTTTTTATTTTTTTAAATATATTAAAGATGTTGAATTTTTAAAACCTTACTTTGGAGTTAATATAATGTTAAAAATAAACTATGTATTGGTTTTTCAGGTGACCACGTTGTTGAACTGTTCTAGATGCTCGCCTGCTCGCCACTTTTCAAATGAATGGTATATATAGTCACTAAATCACTTTTTGAAAGAACATTTTCATGATGATATAGTGTAATAAAAGTTTTGAACACAGAGATTGTAGGTTACTAATTTATCAACGTGGATACATTCCTAAATGCGCGCGCAACAGGTAGTTAACTACAGCTGTATTTAGGAGAATGTACATACGCTATGTGATTTGAAGAAATAAAAGTGACAAGTGTTTGAATAAAATAGCATAAATCAAATATCGAATTATAATAAATTATTATATATATATATTATACATACTTACTTAAAGATTTTTTTTTTTTTATTGAAAAATAATTTTTACAAAATTAAAATAAAAATTTTCACATGTAGAAAATTTTAAAAATTATCTGTGGAATTTTTTAAAAATAGTTTTTTAGTTTTAATTTCTAATTTAAAAAAAAAATCAAAAATTTTTGTGTCGGCTAACTTATTTTCCATATCAATTATGTACAATAAAAGAATGCTTCTAAAAAATTTCTCAAATAATTTTTTTTAATTTTCATATATGGAATAATTATTCTTAATTTTTTTTTCACAATAATTTAATTATTATAAAATTATAAAAAAATTTCTAATGTCTGTCAACCTCAGTGTCATTAAAATTTTCGGACCAGTTTCACATGTCTTCACTTTGATAATTTTTAAAAATTAAAAATGCGATATTTTAAAAATAATTTTTTGGAATAAATTTCTTTTAAGTAACTGCCAAACATTAATCATAATTATACTAATTAAAGTATTGAGTTAACAAAAGAAAAAAAAAGGTCATTTTTGGAAGCACTTAAAATGCAATTTTATTTTATTTTTTTTTAATAAGTTCAATTAATTGTATAATTAATTAATCTAAACATTTTCACTCATTCAAACTTTAATGATTACTTTTCGCACTTAAAAATTCACAATGTCACTTTACATACAATCATAAATTTATAATAATGATAATTATTATTATTAAGTAATTTAATCATAATTAATAATAAAAATAAAAATATTTACATACGATACTGGCAGTAATATATTTAATAATTTCGTTACGCGTGCATTGATCGATATTGATAGTTACATTTAATTAACAACGCTCAAATTTTACTCAATTTCTTCTTTAACCAGTCAGTTAATCAACCACATAAAGTACACACTAGCATTCTACTAGTCTTTATCAATCATATAATTACTTAGTAAGATCTTGTTTCTTTGACACTTATTCGTACAATTTAATTATTTAATTCATATAAATAAAATTAATAATAAAAACAAAAAAAATGCATTTCAATAGATATGAAATAGTAGTTAAAATTACTTTATAGAATTAATTAGCGACAACATTTGAACACAGTTTTAAAAACAAATGTCAAGTTTTATTAAATAAATTAAATGGCAGTGTTCAATTGATAATTAATTATTAATTCTATTAATTAATTAATTAATTAAAAAATTACGCCTTTGTAAACATGAATTACTCGAAGTAAAAAAAATTAATTATTAAATGTGTCAGTCACTCGATTGAATTTTTCTAATTCTTTTTTTTTTTTTTTTTTTTTTTATTTTTGATAATTTTATAAAATTGT